TTGTGAGCAACTGGCTATACGTCAGGGCTTCCCACGGCTCTCTCCAAGGTTTGCTAGAATGGCTCACAGCGCTCAGGAAGACACTTCCAACAGCCAAATGGAAGTAGATGCTGAAGGCAGGGTGTGGAGAAGGGCACTGGGCGCCCATGCCCTTCTCCAGGTGTGCCCCCCTCCCACACTTCTTGTGTTCGCCCAAGCCGTGCGGTTTTGGGGTTTTTACGGAGGTTCCGTTATGTAGGTATGATGAAATCACCAGCCTTTGGCGATTGAACTCCATCTCCAGCCAGAAACCAGGGACAAAACCCAAACATTTGTTACACGATATTCCCTGTCCCCAGCCTTGAGGGTCTGCCCTGGTCCCCAAACTGCTGCTCTCCCCCTCCCACCTGGCCACCTTTTCATCTGCCCCTGAACCCACTCCCCCAGGTTTTTGCCTGGGCAGTTCTTCCTATCTCTTGATAAGAGATGTCTTTGCAATCTCAAGACCGCTTCCAGCAGCCACCTCCTCCAGGCAACCTGCCCTGCCAGACCCTGCTTCTGAGTTGTCTCTGCCTAGGGGTGCCCCAGTCTACTTCCGGCTCCCCCACACTGGAGTCCCTTGAGGGCAAAGCCTGGAACCGGAGTCTCGGAGCCCCCAGCCCCCAAGGCCAGGCCCTGACCATGTTTCCTGCGAGCGTTCCCAACTATCCACCTTTTGGGTCAGCTCCAGTGGTGGAAACTTTCCAGCCGGAGGAGGCCGCTTGTTTTGGAAAGTTCCTGGGGGAGCCGCCCCCGCCCGCCCGCCCTCCGGGTTCCCACGCTCCCTTATCACTGGGTGCTAGGGGGGCGCAGTGCTGTGCCTGCCGAGCTCCTCCCCAGCTGACCTCCTTGGTCCTGCCCCCTCCCTTCCCCTCCTCTCCTCACTGAGCACCGGCCCCCCTCCAGCCTGGCCCTGCCAAGCCCTCCCGCTACAGGTAGGGAAACCGAGGCCTCGCAGCGCCCCTTACACACACCGCGTGAGCCCTGCCCGGAGTGCGTGGCGGGTAGTCCTGCTCAGGAAGGGGGAGGCGGAGGCGGCCCAGGCTGGAGGAGTGCCTGGCTGTGGAGTCAGAGCCCTGGCTCAGTCTTTGACCCTCGTTTCCACTGCAGTTATCTCGGACCCAGGTGCCCAGCCCTCCTGCCCAGCTCCACCTCCTGCCTGGTGGCTGGGCCTGGCGCTCTCTTGCAGCCTTAATGTCCTCTTTCGTAAAATGAGGGAAAGTGGCCGCGCGCCCTAACCGGCTGTGGTGCGAAGCGAATCCACGCGCCCGGTGCGCGGGCCGGGGTCTGCAGCCCACGTGGACGTCCGGCCGCGCCCGGGGCGGGGGGGGCGGGGGGGGCGGGGGGGGGGCGGGGGGGGGCGGGAACCCAAGGGCAGTGATGGCTCGGGCCTACGGGGCCTTGAACCCGAGTCCTCCGAGTCCTAGGCTGGCGCGCCCCTCCTCCCCGCGCGCCCCTCCTCCCTGGCGCGGGTGGGGTGAGGGGCGGGGCGGGGGCGGGGGCGGGGCCGCGGCTCTTTTCTCTGGAGTTCGCGCGCCCCGAGCCCTCGCCGTCCGCCACTGTCCGAGTTGACTCCGCGCCGGTGAGTGCGGCCCCGGGGCGTGGTGCGGGCTCCCTAGGGACCGCGGTCGGCTCGGGCCGCCGGCTCTCCTGTCCCCGCTGACCTCCTGCCCACCCTGCGCCCCTAGCTCTCCGCGATGGAGGCCACAGCCGATTTCGTGGTCGAGAGCCCCGACGTGGTCTACGGCCCCGACGCCATCGAGGCTCAGTACGAGTACCGGACAACGTGCGTCAGCCGCGAGGGCAGTGTCCTCAAGGTAGGCAAGGGACCCGGGGTGGGGGGGGGTGGGAATGGGGGAACCAGGGAGCCGGGAGGAGACGGGAATTACCCAACGTCGAAGACTCTGTGAGGGAGGAAGGGCCTGTGGCCTCAGGCTCACTGCACCGCCCGCCCCCAGGTATACCCCACGTCCACGCGCTTCACCTTTCGGACCGCCCGGCAGGTGCCCCGGCTTGGGGTCATGCTCGTCGGCTGGGGCGGGAACAACGGCTCCACGCTCACCGCTGCCGTGCTGGCCAACCGCCTGCGCCTGTCCTGGCCCACGCGCACCGGCCGCAAGGTGGGGGGTCGGGTGGGGCTCGGCCGGAGTCCCTGCAGGAGGGGGAAGGGCCTTTAGGGGGCGGAGCTCTACGAAGGAGGAGAACCTCCGGGGACGTAGCCTAAGGTGCCGGCGGGCTCTCGGGGGTGGGGGGGACCTCCAAAGGCCGAGCGACTTCTGCCCGGGCGAGGAGCACAGCTGAGGCATCCAGAAGGAAGGCGGAGCTTGAGGGTGCCGGGCGGGGCCCGGGCCGGCTAGTGGCTCACGCCACGCCCCACCTCACCCCGCCCCGCCTGCCGCCCCCCCAGGAGGCCAACTACTACGGCTCGCTGACGCAGGCGGGCACCGTTAGCCTGGGCTTGGACGCCGACGGCCAGGAGGTGTTCGTGCCCTTCAGCGCCCTGCTGCCCATGGTGGCACCCGACGACCTCGTGTTCGACGGTGGGCGGGACCCTAGGCAGGGGGCTGGGTGGGGGGCGGGGCCTGGATGGGGCCCACCTTCCGGGTTGGGCTGAGCTTGGGGGTGTGTCGTCCCTCCCCCGCCCCCCCCACCCCCCCCCCGCCCCAGGCTGGGACATATCGTCGCTGAACCTGGCTGAGGCGATGCGGCGCGCGCAGGTACTGGATTGGGGGCTGCAGGAGCAACTGTGGCCGCACTTGGAGGCCCTGCGCCCGCGGCCCTCTGTCTACATCCCCGAGTTCATCGCAGCTAACCAGAGCGCGCGCGCTGACAACCTCATACTGGGCACGCGCGCACAGCAGGTGCGGCCCCGCCCCAAACCCTGTATCCCTTGCCACTTGTTGCTCTTGCCTTTCGCCCCGAGTTATCACCCACCACCCCTCCCATCGCACCCCCCTCACCCCCGCACCCCCTGCGTTATTGGCCTTTTGTCTCCTCGTTCGCATCCTGAGGTTCCAGACCTCACTTTGCACTTGGGGAAGAGTAGCCCAGACCTCCCCAGATCAAGGAGCCTGTACAGCCTCCTTCCCTCCCCGCCCAGCTGGAGCAGATCCGCAGGGACATCCGCGACTTCCGGTCCAGTGCTGGGCTAGACAAAGTCATCGTGCTGTGGACAGCGAACACGGAGCGCTTCTGCGAAGTGGTCCCAGGCCTCAATGACACCGCCGAGAACCTGCTGCGGACCATCCAGGTGAGTGCATCCAGGGTCGGGAAGAGGGGTCAGGACCAGCCCCAGAGGACCCCTCCGTCCTGATCGCCCGCCTACGTCCACAGCTGGGCCTGGAGGTGTCGCCCTCCACTCTCTTCGCCGTGGCCAGCATCTTGGAGGGCTGCGCCTTCCTCAATGGGTCCCCGCAGAACACGCTGGTGCCTGGGGCGCTCGAGCTCGCCCGCCAGCGACGTGTCTTCGTGGGTGGAGACGACTTCAAGTCAGGCCAGACCAAGGTCAAGTCCGTGCTCGTGGACTTCCTTATCGGCTCTGGCCTCAAGGTGCGTGGGCCTAGGGGGTGCACAGCTCAGGAGGGGGGGCCTGGACCCCAAGCCCGCGCCACGGGGCTTGTGCGCCGCGGGGCCTGCAGCTGCCGCGGGACCCCTTGTTCCCGCAGACCATGTCCATCGTGAGCTACAACCACCTGGGCAACAACGACGGGCAGAACCTGTCGGCGCCGCCCCAGTTCCGCTCCAAGGAGGTGTCCAAGAGCAGCGTGGTGGACGACATGGTGCAGAGCAACCCCGTGCTCTACGCGCCCGGCCAGGAGCCCGACCACTGCGTGCGTGGGCCACAGGCCGCTCTGGGGGGTGGGGGGAAGCCCCTGGCGGAGGAGGGCGGGGACCCCTGTGACCTCGTGCTGGGCCCCCCAGGTGGTCATCAAGTACGTGCCGTATGTGGGCGACAGCAAGCGGGCACTGGACGAGTACACCTCGGAGCTGATGCTGGGCGGCACCAACACGCTGGTGCTGCACAACACGTGCGAGGTGCGGGGCCCGCCGGGGCAGGAGTGGGGCCGCCCGCCGGCCCTGCCCCGCCTTCTGACCCGCCGGCCCTGCAGGACTCCCTCCTGGCCGCGCCCATCATGCTCGACCTGGTGCTGCTGACCGAGCTGTGCCAGCGCGTGAGCTTCTGCACGGACGCCGACCCCGAGCCGCAGGGCTTCCACTCGGTGCTGTCGCTGCTCAGCTTCCTCTTCAAGGCGCCGCTGGTGCCGCCCGGCAGCCCGGTGGTCAATGCGCTCTTCCGCCAGCGCAGCTGCATCGAGAATATCCTCAGGTGGGGCCCGGCTTTGGGGTCCCCATCCGAGGCCCGAATGTCCACTGGCGGCCTCGGCACAGGGACTGTTGGGATTGGAGGCTGTGGGGTTCGCCAGCCGCATGGTCTGGCCCCACTCAGCCCCAACCTTTCCCCCCAGGGCCTGTGTGGGGCTCCCGCCACAGAACCACATGCTTCTGGAACACAAGATGGAGCGCCCCGGCCTCAAGCGAGGGGGGCCTGTGGTCGCCACCTGCCCTCTGCCCTGCAAGAAAGGACCAGCGCCAACTGCCCCCAACGGCTGTACGGGGGATGCCAATGGGCACTCTCGGGCTGACGCACCCCAGATGCCCACCACTTAAGGCCGTGGCCATCCATCTCCCCCAAAACTCTCGTCCCCACTGCCCCTCAGAACCCAACCCTTCCAAGACCCCTGAAGACAATAAAGCCAGTGCCGCTCTCAGCCACAGCATCACCTGGAGGTTCTCGGCGCCTGCAACCTAACCCTAACCACCCCCCAACTCCAGCCCCATCTCCATTTTTCACGTGGTAGACTCTTACCTACCCTTCAGAAACTGATGCCCCAACTCTTGACACTTCTAGAAGCGAGGCCTCTGCCTAACCCCATGATGGGAGGCCGTGGCCACAAGCCACAGCGAAGAAATCTGAGACCAGATACCAAAAACCAAAACCAAGTTACATTTATTGATGGGGCCCACCCCTGCTGTCCAGGGGAAAGGAGGTCCCCAAGGAGCCCCCTGGGACAAAATAGAAATGACAAGAAGGGCCTATACAGGAAAGAACGTCTCTGAGGTCCTTGCGTGGTTTTTTTGTTTTTCTTTTTTTATAAAATGAGAGTCCTTTGTGCCGGGCTTCCCAGCTGTCCAATCCTTGAACTGGATGGAGTACAGTCGCCCGAGGTGTGACCTCAGACCCTCACCCAGCAGACTGCCCGAGCCCCTGAACCTTGGTCCCAGGCAGGGGCACTAGGCAGAAGCCGAGGCCGGCAGTGGGCAAGGGGCTGCTGCCCCATCACACGCTCATGGTCATCCCGGGCGAGTACTGCGGAGAGACGAGGGGGTGGCGCGCGGAGGCGGGCTCAGCTCCGGCCTCCGCTGGGACCCGCCCCCCCGGGGAGAATGGGGGACGGGGCGGAGGGAGGGGAGGAGACAGGTGGCGATGCGTGGGGAGACCGCCCTGGGGTGCGGGTCCCAGGGTGGGGGTTGGGGCGGGGAAGGGGGGGCCGGTGAGATTAGGGCGGGAGGAGGGGGAGGAGGGACAGGGGAGGGGAAGGATGCCGCGGCCGCCCCCCCACCTGGCCCGCCGCGGTCACGGTCTTGCTCTGGCCCCCCGGCCGCCCCGCCGGGGCCTGCCCGCCAGGCCCCTCCGGCCCGACGCCGCCGCGGGGGGGGAGTCGACGCAGTCGCTTACGCTTTCGCTCGGGAACGGGTGCAGGAAGGTCCCGGCGGCCGCCATCTCGCCGTCGTCCCGCGGGGTGCCCGGGGCGTTGCTCAGGCCGGCCACAGCGCCGGGGGAGCTCTGGGGGCGGCCGTGGTCAGCGCAGGACTCCCCGCCCCGCGGGCCAGGCCCTGCCCACCGCTCCGCCCAACCCCAACTAGGCCCGCACAGCTCTGGCCAGGCCCGCATCCCCGCACCCAGGGAGCCCCAGGCCCCGCCCCACGCAGGAACGCGGCCCCTCACCTTCGGCAACCCGTCCATATCGCCCGAGCCTGTGGACCGACAGACGGCGGGCCGCGGCTCAGATGCGCCTGCGCCAGGCCCGGAACCAATCCCCCGCCCCCACCCCGGCCCAGGGTCAACTAACCCCTCCCCGAACTTGTCCCGGGGCCCTGCCTCCGTCCCCGGGGCCCAGTCCGCTGGGGCGCCGCTGGGGGTCCTGGATGGAGGGTCCGGACGGGGGTCAGTGACGGCACTTTTGGCTTAGTTACTGGAATCTTCCCCCCGCCTCCCCTGCCAGCGAGAGGCCCGTGGAAATTCAGGGTGCGACGGGGACGCCCGCGGAGAAACCAGGGAGAGGGGCAGGAGCAACCGCCAGGGGGCGCAAAAGGCTCGCGAAGCAGCGGGGTTGGGGCGTGGGGTGCGTGTCTCGGGACGCCCACTCACCCAGGGATCCGTTCACGTGGTGAGGCTCCATTGCACTCATGGCCGCCATGGGGCCCTCCGGACCAGGGCCGAGCGGGAACTGCGGGCGGGCGGGGGGGGGCGGGCAGCGTGGGACTCGGGCCACAAGACCCCCAGCGGGGCCACCGCCTTCCGCAGCCCCCACCCTGGAACCCCCCACTCACATTAGCCCTGCCGGCGCCCGGCCCAATGGGGTTCATGATAGTGTACATGCTCTCGCTGGAGTTGGAGTCTGGGGGAGATACCGGTGCGTGAGGGGATGGGGTGTGAGGATCTCTCCAAGCGAGCACACCCCTCCCTGTATCCCGCCCAGGCTGCAGCACCTCCAGGGCTGGGCATGATGGGTGTTCCAGGGGGCCCTCCTCCTCCTGGGGGTCCCTGCAAAGGAAGGAGACAGAGCAGGTGAGAACGACCCCCCGCATCTGCCAACCATCACCACTGCCCCCTGGCTCAAGTGGCCCAACCCCCCTCGTCACTCAGTCACTCACCGAGTAGCTGCCGGGGGAGGAGGAGGAATAGGGAATCTGGGGAGAAGGGCAGCTGTGAGCAGTCCACTCTACCGCCACACCGCTAACCCACCCCCCAGCCTCCCCTGGCTGGCCAGCCCGCCTCTCACCGAGTTTCCACTGGGGCTGGCCCATGGGCCTCGCACTCCAGGGCCCCTAGAAGAGACAGTGGGGGGACCCCGGGGTTAGGCCAGGTGGCACACAGCCCCCGACACACTGTGACATCCCCCACCCTGCCCATGTGCCCCCAAACAGGCCCGAGGAGCCGCAGAGTTTGGCTGAGAGTTGGTAACCAGGAATGGATTCTAGTCGGCCCTCAAATCCCATATCCTATGGGATAGGGCCTTTGGGCCTCAGTTTCCCCACCCAGTGCAGCATAAACAACCAGAGCTGTTGTGCAGACTTAGTCTGCCCCAGCAGAGCCGGGCCACGAAGCTGGGTGGTAGCCTACGTGGGTACACCCCAGGGGTCTCTCAGGGCCTTACATGTTCAGGGTGGGCAGGCCTGGGCCAGCGAGGGAGTTCGGTGGGGGCCGCATGCCACCTCCATAGCTCTGGGAAGGCAAAAGGGCTGTGAGTGCAGGCCAAGGTGTCGGGGGAAGCCCCCTGGAAGCGCACCCCCTCTCCTGGCCCAGCCCTCACCTGGGGTCCAACGCTGGCCATGCCCCGTGGAGGTGTCACTCTCTGCATGGGGCCCATGCTCGGATGCCCTGGTTGGGGGGGGGGCAGAAGGGAGCTCAGGCCAGTAACACTCCCCAGTGTGGACATGTGCTGGAGGGGGGTGGTTCTGCACCAGGAGGCAGCAGGGACGAGGAACTTGGGAGCTGGGGTCCTAATGGGTGGGGGGTGGCAGCAGCTGGAGCTTCCCTACTCACCCTGAGCTCGCGGGGAGGGTTCCATGGTGCCAGGAAGGAGGGGCTGGGAGCCGGGGAGGCCCACGGGAGGCTGCGGAGGGGGTGTGGCAGCACTGAGCATGGGTACCCCCACCCTGGCCCAACTCCTGCCCCCCCTCCCCTCATCCCTCTCTCACCTGACTCGGCATCCGCAGGGTGGGCCGGGGGCCCCCTGGGAACCGCGGTGACATGAAGGGCTGGAAGAGGTGGGCCGGGGATCAGCACCTCCCGCCACCCGCTCACCCCCCAAAGCTACCCTGTTCCTGCAGTGCCCAGGCCCCCAGCCTGGACAGCCCCCTCCTCCAGGACCAGCCAGCAAACTGCAGCCAGCCAGTGCCCGGTGCGTGAGTGCGGTGGGGCTGGGGTCTCAAGTTGCTGGGATGTGCGTGTGCAAAGGGGCGGGGCGTCACAGGTCCTTACCTGAACGTGAGGCCCCATCATGGGGGCGTTGGGGTTGTGGGGGGGCTGCTGGGAGCCGGGGGGGCCCTAGGAGGACAGAACCAGGTGGGTTGGGAGGAGCGAGGTCCACCGAAGCTTCACTGTTCTCTGTGGCCCTGCTGAGCCTGGCCAGGAAGGGTGAGGGGACGCCATGGAGGCGGGAGGGTGGGCCAGCCCTGCACTCCCCTGAGTGGAAGACGGGCTTTGGGGTGGGGGGCCCTACAGGAACAGTCATGGGCAAGACCCACGGCTCAGAGAGCCATGCTCCGAGGCCCTTAGCAACCAGGCCCGTGCAGGCCAACGTCACAGAGACCCCGCCCTCTCCTGCACTGGGGCCCAGCCCATGCGGCCGCTCCCTGCCCCCGCCACCAAGGCCTGTGTGCAAATGCCCACCTCGCGGACAAACCCCTACCAACTGCAGCCTGCCGGGGCCTCTCCCCGTGGGACCACCCACGCCCATCATGGCCCACGCTGTTCACCCTCCGACACATGCCCACTTGAGTTGGAGAACAAGGGGCACCGGCCCTGGCTGTACCTGGAAGAAGCCGGGTGCCATGGGGCCTGCTGCCATCGCGTCGTTGGGGGCCATGCTCCCCATCACAGGACTGGGGGCCGCTACAGCGCTCTGCAGAGGTGAGGAAGACCAGGAGAACCTGCTCACGTCACTTCCTGCTTGAGTGTCCCCTCCTGTCCGCAAACAGCCCACTCCACAGAGCAAGGAACCTGGGCCATCGGGTGTTCTACCCATGTGAGCACGTGAGGACGCCTGGAGGGTTCTCTAGGTGAAGGAGGAGTGACTGCTCCTGTCCCCACCCCGGTTTTAGCAGCCCTGACTTGGTGTCCTCCTCAAATGTGCCGTGTGGCCGTGGACCCAGGCTTTGCCTCTTCTGTACCCAAGACACTGGAGGTGATCGGGGCCCTGTCAGGTGCAGCACACAGTCCAGGGGGAAGGCCAGGGACCTGGGGATCCCAGCTCCTAAGGCGTCAGTCCCAAGCATGAGGATCCTGGGGGGTCTGAAAATGCCAATAAGCCAGGGCCCCCGTGGGCACGCGCCTCTTGCATCTGGCACAGGCTTGCTCTTTCCATCGGAATCTCACATCAGACCAGTGGGGGCATGGTCCCTGACTCTAGCCCCGGCCCAGCAGGCCCCATGTCCTCCTGGCTGGTAAAGCGGATTAGCTGGACTCCCAGCTCTACCCAAGACACCCCAAATAAACACAAAAATCAACTGGCAGCTTCCAGATGAACCTCCCTCCCAGAGGGCTGCTCTCTGGGGCTGTGGCGCAGAGAACTCCCCTCTTCCTCCAGTTGGGAAGGGAAGGAAGAGCAGGACTACTGGGATGGGGTCTCCAGGCTCCAGGCCTCTCTTCAGTTGGAGGAGGGGAGAAGACCGGGTGCTAGACAGGGGGGTTCCCATGTCAGCCCAGGGTGGAGATGCTGGTGGCGGCCGGGTACAGGCTGACAGGCCACTTCCTCTGGTAGGTTCCAAGTCCCAGGCTTGTCTGCCTTTGGGAACAGAGCAGGGAGGAGGAGGGAAATGCAGGCCTAGTCTACAGGGTAGAGGGAACACATCAAAGGTTAAGGAAGGAGGACTCTGCAAGGACTGAGTAAACACAGTAATTCTCGGGAGGCCCCTCAACTCTTGTCTGTCTGGATCATCTGCCCCCCCCTCCACCCCCAATGGGATCCAAGAGGTATGGTCTGTGTGGGTCACGGCTATTCTTGGGACTGGCACAAGCCATCACACAGGGATGCCCAGGATTTTGCAAAACTGCAGCCACTTGGGCTCAGAGAAGTTAAGCATTGTGCCCACAGTCACAGAGCACTTCCTGCCCCACAGAAGTGGGGAGAGGGCCCCTTGGCTGCGTCAGAGCAGGACCCCTGTAGACATACCCCTCCCCTTGGGTATTGCAAGCTGCCCCCCCTTCCTGCCCCTTCTCAAAGATCAACCTCTGAAGGACTCCTGCCCAGGCCCCAAGCTGGGGGGGGCGGGAGCTGCAGGGGGGGGCGGGGAAGAGCCCTCCCTGGCCTATGGTGACTGAAAACACTCCCAGGGCCTGGCACCAATCTTTTGAAAGCCCAAGAGACCCTAGGAGTGGGGGGATAAAGCTCTCACCCCCCTCCAAACTGCCAGGTCCCCCCTGCCTCCACCAACGCCCCCCCCCCCCCCCCAGACACAGAGCCTGACAGCTGGAGCAGCTATTGTATTCTCGCAGGCGCCTGCCTCAGTGGCTGGAGGAGGTACTTCTGAGCCCTCGGTCTGTCCACTCCCCCCAACCTACCCCACAGGGAGGGTGGGAGAGCAGTTCCCCCTTTCAAGCCACAGCAGGCGCCAGAGCATTTCCTGGTGCGGGGGGCAGCTGCTCTCTGGGCTGCCGACGAGGTGTGGGGGCAGGGAGAAGATAGGGCACCGCTCACCCGGCTCCCCAACTCTAGGCCCAGAAGGGTTAATACAGGGCGGGCCCACCCTCCCTGGCGGGTGGCCCGAGCTAGACCCCCCACGTCAATCATCCACCCGGAGACGCCCTGGCCCATCCCGCGTTGCTATGACGATGGGTTGGGCGCGCTAGCGTTTCCTGGAGACGCCGAGGTCGGCCGAGGAGCCGGGAGTGGTGAACTGAGCCCCCCACTCGGAGGGGGCCCCGACCGTGCAGGGGAGGCGAGCACGGCGCTCCCCCCACGTTAGAGCAGCGGCTGGTCAGGATGTGCGCCCGCAGCCACAGGGAACCCGTCACCCCGGGGCTAGGGTGCTACCCCCCCCCAACACCCGCTGTGCCCGCACCATCTCCCCCGACGCACTCCGCTGCCATGGTAACCGGCGCGCTCCCGGGAAGCGCGCTCCCGTGGACGTGGAGAACCCTGCGTTCCGCTTCCTGCCCTCCCCAGAGGGGCCCTGAGAGGCCACTAGAGGTGGGGGCAGAGGCGAAGCCGGGGCGGGGGGGGGAAGGGGGCGCTGCGCAGGCTGGGAGGGGCTAGGGTTCGACTGGGAGTGAGCGCCCACGCAGAGTCTTGCACGCACAGAGCTCCAGACACCCCTGGAGCCCGTTCTGGCAGGAGAGCGACAGGGGGGATGGCACACGAACAGTGGAACCCGATGGGGACCAATAGTGTGACCCCGGCTCCCATGCACATCGTACAACGGGTGCGGAGCGTCTTCAGGGACACGATGAACCCCCACCCCTCACGGGCTGCACCCCTGCTCTACAAAGGCCTGCACTTGCGGGGGGGGGGGGGGCACTTTATGTGGGGAGGCGGTGCACGACCTTGACCAACTGCAGAGCGAGATGGGGACGGCCACGCCCTGGGAGGCCCGAGGGGGCACAGCAGGGCGGACTGCTCAGGCTGTGAGGATGCCAGCTGTAGGAGAGTGGGTGCACAAGGGGGAGGGCGAGAGAAGGGGGAGCTCGCCTAGAGCTGCACGCCCCTGGACGCCAGCTGAGCTGCTGCTTTTCCTCGGAGTGGGCCCAGAGCCCCCCACCCTTCCTGTCCAGCCAGAGACCTCTCAGAGAAGCCAGGTGGCCAAGCCCCACAGCCAGGACCAAGAAGAGGATAAACGCAGGGGCAGCCATCTGCTCCCCATGACAATGAGATGCCACCAGCCCTTTCATGTTATCCCCCCTCCTCTCCAGATAGGCCTCTGACCCCCACTCAACCTGGAGGGAAACTGAGGCCAAAGAGGTGGGGTCAACAGCCCCAATCACCAAGCAAAGTCAGGAAGTGTATTGCCCAAGGGTGCACCTGCCAGTTAGCCAACCCCAGGGTCCCCTGAGCTCAAAAAGGCTGGGGTGGGAGGGGGTATGCCGTGGCGCGCACACACACACACACACACACACACACACACACACCCAGCTGGGCAGATGGGGAGGCAGAGCTCCTGGCTCCCCAAGGGATTCCGAAGAGGGGAAGGAGAGGTAGGGCTGGCTTCAGGAAGGGGGGGGGGGCTGTGGGGACTCTCAGGAGCTGAGTGCAATGGAAGGAGCCTCCCCCACCCTGTGAGTAACCCTAGACTGAGGAGAGGGCATAGGGACTCCCAGAAGTGGGCAAGATCCCAGATCAAACCCCAACACCAGACCCACCTGCCCACCCAAGCCAATCTCAGGCCACGCAGGCCCCCAAGGCCACAGGCCCCCAAACTGGCCCATGCCCAAGAGCCCTGGTCCCGGTCCCTGGGGCAGGGACTCACGTAGTCCTGGAAGGCCTTGGCCTCATTTGAGTGCTCACATGCCTCTCTGCGGTCGGGTGCTGCACAGTACAAGTCCCAGAACACACTGTGGGCAGCAGGGGGGGGACGATGGTTTCCCCATGCGTCCCCACCCAGCCCCCCTCCAGGGTCCACCCTGGCCAGCCCCACACGCACCACCACCAGGAATGTAGGAAGCCTGGGGGTTCCCCCAGTGTAATGTTCTTCTCCCATCGGATCTGCAGGGGAAAAACAAGACAGTGAGGGGGTCTGCTGCCTGGCCCTGCCCAACCTCTTCCAACCTGAGGCAGCCCCAGGGCTGGGGCCTGGGAGACAGGGAAACAGCAGCCCTGAGCAAGGGTGCAGGGCAGAGGACAACTGGGTAAGGGGCAGAGAAGTGGGCACAGATCCTCAGATGGCCAGACAGATGCCTCGACCCCAGCCCACGGGCCCTGACCCACCCCAGCCCTCAGTTCCCAGGGCCAGCAGAGGGGCAACCAAACCCCACCACTGGAGCCCCAATGGAAAGGGGGTGGAGTGGACCCCAGGGTATAGGCAGTAAGGAAGGACCCAGCTGGGGGGGCCCTGCCTGGCGAGGCTGGCTTACCTCAGACAGAAAGGTCTGGGCTGACTTCTGGGCACCGACGTGCAGCAGGTACTCGTAGACATACAGGGCCAACCTGCAGGCAGGCCAGGTGCGGATGGGCTCAGGCTCTCCGGAGGCCCCACAACCCTTCCCCAAGGGTCCCTGGGTGTGGCCTCAGTGAGCCCTTCGTGATACCATCCTCAGCCTCACTCACTGCCCCCCAATGGTTCCCCAACCCCCCCATCTCTCCCACCCTGATGTGATGGCTTCATCAGGTGCTCAGACCTGCCAGCTCCTACATATCCATCAATACCCAGCCGGCAGGCCCTTCCTCTAGGCAGCACTCCCAGCAGTCCCTGACCCCTGACTTGCAAGTCATCCATTCTGCTCAGTTCCACATCCCCTCGTGGACCAAGTCCTGGCCCCATCCTGCCAATGCTGAGACCCCAGAACAGCCTTCGTCCCAGGGAGGTCTTGTGGCCGGGAGAAAGGGCTCCTAGAGGTCACTCCAGACTCTGCCCTGGGTGGGGTCTCCCAGCGGGTACCCGAGGCCATGTGGTCAGGGCCCAACACCTAATTTCCTTCCAGCCTTGTCTTCTAGAGAAAGAAAGGGGCCCTCTAACCTGAGGTCTTCCTCCGCCAGGTGTCCCCGGACCCCCATTCTCTTTCTCAGGACCAGCGCCCATCCACCCGTGGTGGCCATGACCTAGCTACACCAGCCCCGCAGGGGGGAGTGTGGAGAAGCGAGGGCAGGTGAGGGGCAGCAGAGCAGGGCCTGCCTTGTAGAAACACAGTGCCCAGCACCCTTGGACACACCAGTTTGGCTGCTGCCTGCCCCAAGAACACAAGCCGCCTTCCAGCCAGTAGCGTCCTCCACAGGCCACACAGGGAGGCCGGCCCCTCTACACCATCTTCCGAGCCTCCGCATCCTCAGCCCCAACACCCCCTCATCAGTCCTCCCCATCAGCAAGCAGAGAACAACTTCCTGCCTCCTGGGGTCACCCATTTCCCAACCATCCACAGTTACTGCCCCCTCCCGGTGCTCCCAGGGACATAGGGTCCCTCGGTCCAGGCCCCGGGGGGGGGGGGGGGGGCGGTGCTGGGAGGGTAGGGTCTAGATCCAAGATGCGGGGGCTCCCCCAGGGCTGGCCTGAGCTGGAAGCCCTTCCAGGATGCCTCCCCACTCAGCAGGCCACCCCTCCCTGGCTGAGGGCCCCCACCCCTAAAATAACCCTGCTTTGACTCATGTTCCTGTTCTCTCCCACCTTCCCAGCCAGGCTTCTTGATCCTCACATACCCGCCCCCCATCAGATCAGCCCCCTTCCTTAGCTCCCCTCACATTTCGCTGAGGTGGTTCTAGCCATTCTGTCCCCCCCCACCCCCCCGCTCCTGCTCCCTGCCCCTGCCCCCTCCCCCCCAACGGCTTCTGCCCTTGCCCTGGATCCTCTTCCTTCCTCCATCCATTTTCATTCATTCAGCATTCACCCAGCATCTCTTTGTGCAGTGAACACAACAGACACCTGACCCCCGGAGGCTACCTGCTGAGTTCTATGGTGGGCCGGAATATAGTGCGTGCTAGGGAAGGACAAGAGGGGGACATTTGAGGGACTGGGGTGGGCAGCTGTCCCAGGGCAAGGGGTGCCCCCAGCTCACCCCACACCAGATGAGCTGTGGACAGCCACCGAGAGGGACAGGGCACAGAGAGGTGTGGCTCGTGGTGGTCACACTGCTCCAAGTGTGGGTTTTCCTCAAGATTGGCTGTGGACTCCGCCACATCATCACACCCCTCTCAGCCTTCCTGGTCCCATGGCCTCCAGGTTTACCTGGCCAACTCACTCCTATGATTCTCTTCCTTTCTAGAGGCTTCCTGAGCCTTCAAGTGGTCTGCATCTGCCAGCCCTGCGTCCATTAGTGAAGGAACAACGGACTGAAGCAGAGCCAACAAGCCCAGGCCTGCCCGCCCCCCTCCCGCACCCTCTGGGCAAGGAGAGAGGCTGAGAGAGGTCCAGCCAGTCCCTCACCCATTTGGGGGGTCACTGCAGGAGGCAGGAAAGTCTGGGGCTGAGATGCCCAGAGAAAAGGGAGCAAGAAGGGATGGGGGGGGATCCAGGTAGGCAGATGTAAGGATAGGGGCAGGGAGGCAGCAGTCTTGCCCTTGGGGCATTCTGGCTCAGGAAGCTTCCTGAAGAAATGACCCTTGGCTCCCACCACATCCACCAAGGTTGCTGACACTGCCAGCCATCAGGTCCTCCTACACCTCCCCTTTGCCCTCAACTGTTCTTCAGGGGTGGCATCTGATCCGGGATGCAGGACCCCATCCCGGGCTGCTCCCCTCTTCCCTCCACTAGCCCTGCCCCAGCTCAGCCCTGGGCCCCCACTTCCTTCTCTGGATGGCCTCCTCTCCCGCTTTGATGACATCTTCATGCAGCTGCCCATGGGGTGCACCAGCCCAGCCCTCCCAAACTTGGGATTCACATAACATCTAGTGGTCCATCCTCAACATGCTCCCCGCCCAGCTTCTTCCTCTCCCCACCTCCCCTGCCCCCCCCCCCATCTGACTTGGGTAGTCTGGCCTTGACTCACAAAGGTACACAGGTGCGTGAATATCCACCCAGCCATCCCCCTGAGATCACTGCACTTACTGAATTTAGGGGAAAAACTTGAGAAAAAAGCTCACTCTTCTGCTTTGGAGCCCTCTTCCTACTGCTTCTACCACACTTGGTCCAGGCTACCACCACCTCTTACCTGGATTTCGACAGGGCTCCCCCAGCAGCTGCTCCCTCCCCAGCCTCTAGAGTCTACACACACACCCTTCAGTCCCTCCAGTGCCCCAACACACTAGCACACTGGCCCTCCCCCACCCCAGGGCCTTTGCACAGGGTGTCCCCCCACTCAGGGCACTTCCACCTAGAGACCTATGTGGTTCAAATGTCACCTGTCACAGTCTTCCCTGTCACACCTAAACTCCACCTGCCCCATCCACCCCCCCAACCACCTTATTTATCCCCTTCTGACACATGTCTCTCTGCCCACTGCCTGCAGCTCTTTCTAGAATATAGCTTTGGGAGGGCAAGGACTTGGTCTCTTTCCCTCACTACTGAAATTACAACAGCACCCAGGGCATCTTGGGCCCCTTGCTACCACAAATGAATGAAAAAAAAACCACAGGGACTCCCTCCTGCGAGGATAGGTTTAACACAGGCAGTCTGGTAAGAACCAGTAAAAGTTAGCTTAGTATTTCAAAGTTAAGGATTTGGGGTTTTATCCCCAAAGCAAAGAGAAGCCAGAGAAGATTTTAGGTTTTGCTGATTTCTCTTATGTGTTCTTACTTTAATTTTTACCAGGATAGAGTCTCAGGGAAGGACTGTGAGCTGTTTTGTTTTGAGTGAAAAATTCTGAAGCCTGGACATTTGACCATGTTGTTTTGAGACCTTCAGGGCGCCACCCCATGCAGGGCCTCCAGCTTGAGGTGTCCCTGTCCAGGCCCTGATCTCACATATGGGGAAGGGCCTGGGCTCTGGATCCAAATCCTGGCATCCCCACCCCTAATCATGTTGGCAAATGACCTGCAGAACAAAGAGCAGGCTCATGGGAAGGGCTTCTGCTGTGAGAGGGCAGGTGGATGGAAGAAACGAGTGACCTAGAGGATATGGGGTGCCCAGACCCCAAGTGCTCACAGGAAGAAAGGCACACAGGGCTGCTCAGGTGACAGAACAGGATGTTAGAGTCTTGGAGACTACAACGTGGCGCCACCACTGTAATTAGCAAGAATTATGGTAGGTAACGGAGGCTCTGAGCACTAGCACAGTGTCCTCCTCCCCCTTAAAGCCCCTGGACTTGCTGCTGGGTGCTGGGAGACTCCGCTCAGGGCCTTGTGTCACTTCCCAACAGAGGGACGCTCCAGCCCACACATTTCTTCCCCCCACCCTCCACCCCCACCCTCAAGGCCAGGCCTTTGGGTGTCTCACCACCTGCCTGACAGCCTCCACGCACGCCCCTTACAGCCCTTCTCCCAGCCAGTGGCCTGGGCGATGACCCCCACTCACAAATTCCCCCTCTGTCTTCCTCCTCCTCCTGTTCCTTCCCTCTTCTCAAGCCCTTCCTTGGAAGCTCCCCTGTGTCCACTGGCTCTGCTTAGCCTCCAGGACTCAGTTCAGGGGTTCCTTTCTCAAGAAACTCTTGCCCATCTGCCCTCCAAACAAGGATGCCCACAGCCACACCTGGAAACCCAGCAAGAGACAGAGCAAACACAAGGTGATTCCCTCACCTGCTGGGCTAAGGAACAAACTACACGTGGTCATGTGCCCCTTCTCAAAACCAATCCCAGAAAAAACACAAGACACCAACCATGGTTGTCATTTATGGAACTATTTAAACCTACCTGGCAGCACCTCACATTAGCAGAACCTCTGGGGCCACAGGGGGAAGGATATAAAGGGGACAAAGGGGCCTTCGACTACCTGTCACCTTTGTCCTCTTATTTAAAAAGCCCCCAAACCAAGGACCAAATCCAAGTGCTAGTTAGTGCTGGGTGGTAGGTGCCCTCCAGGCTGCCCTGTAGGCTGGGAGTGTTTATTAATGGATCCACCATCCATGCACCCAGCAGGTACTCAGTTCATTTCTGGGGCAGGCTGTCCCAGAACTAGTGTTGAGATGAGGAGCAAGAAGCGGGCCCAGGACAGGGACCTGAGAAGGAAGAAGGGCAGGAGGAGGTAGGACTTCGAGCAGGGAGAAAAACACAGTACCAGAGAGCTAAGGACCTGAGCAGTATAACCCCCCCCCCATCCCCATTTCACAGAGGAGGATACCGAGGCCCAGAGACAGGAAGTGGCTCGGCTGGTGGCTGCCTGTGAGGGGTGCTCTACCTGCAGCCTCTCACCCCCTCCCTGTGAGAATCCTACAAGGTCGGTTGTCCACGTTTCAGAAACCGATGCTCGGAGCAACCAGCCGACCTGTCCAGTGTGCCTTCCCCGCTCCCGCCCCACTCCCGCTTTCTGAGCGCTCTCCTGCGCCCCAGACCCTGAGACCTCAGCAGATCGCTTCCTCTCCAGGGCCCCAGCACCCCCACGGATGAAATAGGGGATGTGACCATCTGGTGTTTTCCAAACTTTCTTTAGCAGCAGAACCCTACCTCCAAACCAAGGCTTAGATGGGACCCTCTATAAGAAATGGACGAGCACAGGACAGGTCTGGCCATCAAGGGGCCTGGAACACAGGCAGGACGGAGCCTTTAGCCTCCGCCTGAGGCGTTTTTGCAGATCCCAGAGTCCTCCCACTGTCGGCCGTGCGGCCTCCCCAGGGGCCCCACCCAGCTGCCCCCGCCGGGCTGGGGCTAGCAGCCCTCAGGCCCTCTCCTCTCTCAAGCTCTTCCTACGTGCAGGGGTCCCCAACTGGCCAGTCTCGCCCGCCCCGCAAACTTCCCCGGAGACTGCGATGCCGCTCCGTGCGCGACCTCGCGCGCACGCGCGACCGCAAACTCACGCACCCAAGTCTCGACCGTCGGGGAGGTCTCGCGACCCTCGAGTCCCGCTCGGGTCTCTCGCGCCCCCTCAAATCCTGCGCCCTCGAGTCTCGCGCGCCCCTGCAATGTCGCGTCTCCCCAGCCCTCGAGTTTCACGCGCCCCCTCAAATCTCGCGAACTTCGGGTCTCCGGCGCCCCTTCAACTCTCACGACCTCTCGGCTCTCGCGCACTGCCCCCCAAACCTCACGACTCCTTGCGCCCCTCTTGCCCCCGGAGTCTCACGCGCCCCCCAAATCTCGCGAACTCTTAAGCTCCTCACACCCCTTAGATCTAGCGCACTCCCACAGATCTCGCGACCCCTCGAGCCCCTCAGGCCTCGCACGCCCCTCAAATCTCGCGCCCCTCGGGTCTCGCGCGCCCCCGCAAATCTCGCGACCCCTCCAGCGCGCTTCGGCCCCGCACGCCCTGCCCCCGCGCCCACGTGCCCCGCGCGGTGCCCGCCGGCATTGGGGCCCACGGAAGCTGCGCGGCGGCCGAGCCCCGCCCCCGGCGCCCCCGGCTCCCCCGGCCCCGGCCCACCGACTCACTTCTCGCGGGCCTGGCTGTCGGAGGGCACGGCCGAGCCCTTGCCCCCCTTGGCGTACATGCTGCTCCGAGCCGCCGCCGCCGCCGCCGCCGCTGCCGCCGGGGCCCACACCTGTCAGGCGGCTCCGCGGGCCGCGCTAGCGGTCGCCATAGCTACCCCGCGCCCCGGGCCTCACCGCCCCGAGCCCCGCACGGGCACCGCGGGCATCGTCCGCGCGGGGGAGCTCCAGACGGCCAAGGCGGCGGCGGCGGCAGCGGCGGCAGCTCCAGCTTCAGCTCCAGCCACGGGTTTTATTTTCTTCCTCTCTTCCCTCAGCGCGGGCTGTTCCGGGAAGCGCGCGCCCCCTCCTCCCTCCGCGCGCGCCCCCGCCCGCCGCCTCCCTGCCGCCCGCGAGCGCCGCTCTTAAAGGGGCGATGGCGGGCGCGCGGATGGGTCCCGCTGTGGGGACCGTGGGCCCGGCGCGCACGCGCAGTGCCCGCCGCAGGGGGGGGGGCGCGGGTACACACACGCAGGCACGGGTGGGGACGGCCACCTGGGGACACACAGCAGGATACAGTTGATCACGGCTACACACACACTCCCCAGATAGGACCAACCACCCAAATTGTACACCCAGGAACACAGCCAAACACAGTTGCAGCTACACTGTTGGACACAGGACTACACACATAGATCCACATAGCTACTGGAACAACTAGTGAGAGTTCCATAAAGCAATAGGCAGTCACACGGGGTGCACGACCCCGCGGAACTACCCCACACAGCTTGAGAAGGAACCGCCACACACACAGCTCACTCAGGGACACACTGTCATACACACGGAGGTATACACAGTGACTGTCAGAACAACAAAACATACAGATCACCACTCACATAGACACACAGCCCCACAGACACACGGAGGCTCAGCTATGCTACAGCTTCCGACAAGCTGCGGAAGGAGCCCATGCAGCTACTTGCGGTCACCCTGGGGCACACGGTCCTAGCCTACCCAGGGCTCCACACACAGACCTGGGGTCTCACAGTGCCATAGATGAGTCAGTGTCACACAGTCACATGGCCTGTGGACACTCACTGCCACATAGACACGCAACACACACATGCAACACAAAGACAAGCACACAAGGATAGCCGGGTCACACCCTAGCAGCCACCCTGCGCGGCTCCACAGTCACACCCTGTGTCAATAGTAGTCGCTGGGCGATTGTCCACTGGGTCATTCCTGCTGCTATTTCTCAACTTCTGTATTGCCAGCGGCAAATGGGGCGCATCCCACCTTTAATCGCCCCTCTGCAGGAGTCAGGACTGCAGGCAGTCCCCCTCCTGGGGCCCTTCTCCCTCCAGGGTCTGTGAAATGGGGGACAGACATTGAGGTAAGGGCCCCAAGGCAAGGGTGCCTGGGAGGGGTGGACGCCTGTGCACTGGACCCGCTTGCCACGGGTGGGGGGAGGCAGTCCAGTGATTCCAGGTCTGGATGTTTCTGTGACTATTTGCCATAGGTGTTCTTTTTTCCTGTGCACGACTGCGTGTGTGTGTATGTGAGTGTCTTGATGGGTGTACCCCCTCCCACTGCGAGCTGACCCCCTGTGATACCTCCCTCTTAGAGGCTACGCCCCCCAGTGGGGATCCCCACCCCTCAGGCCTTCTGGCGGTCGGGAAGTCGGGAGCCGCTGGGGTTCCGGACAGGCGGAGAGGAAGGGAAGGGCCAGGCTGGCCCCAGCCCCGCCTCCATCCCCAGGGGCCTCGGCCGGGGTTGGAGGGGGACGCCAGCCCTTCCCACTTCCTGTCCAGCCGGTCGTCCCCTCCCCCAGCTTCCTCTCCCGCGGGGCCCCCCGGAGCCAGGGGCCGGCGTAGAGGAGGGGCCTGCGCTGCGAGGTAGTGGGGGTGCGGCCGCCAAGCTTCTGTAGGGCATCGAGCCCCGGACGCCACCGGCGGACGTGGGCGTCAAGGGCACCCTCATCGTAATACCCGCTCCCACCACCGCTCTCCAGTGCCTACTTCCAGCGAGACACAGAGAAAGTGTGGCTCACCCAAGTCACACAGCGTATTGGTGACAACTGTGACACCCAGGCCCTGCCACCCCAGGCACCCCCTATTTATCTCCCAATGCTCCATGGCTCCCCAGGATTCTGTGTCCTGCGCAGGTCCCTCGCCCTCTCTGAGCCACGGTTCCTTGAGTCATTGTGCGTCTCCAACCTCCCCACAAACATTTACTGAGCGTCTGTTGTGTGCAGGGCTCTGGGGACCCAGGCAGGACGCGTTGCTACTGCTTGTGGAGCAGATTCTGAAGGGGAAGGCTGACCGTCAAAAGCTGGCGAGTCAGTAGGATAATTTCAGGGAGTACCACATTCTGGGCCGAGGGAGGGGTTCCCGGTGGAGAGGACCAAGCGACGGCCGAGTGGGCCCAGCTCCCGGAGCAGGGTGGAAGCGAGGGGAGAGAAGGAGGGAGACGGAGGCGCGAGCTGCGAAGGGGGAGGCGCGGCCGGCTGGAGCGACAAGCGCGGTTCTCATGGCAACGGGGACGGTTCTCCAAACACAGCTTCGGTGCCGGCGGAAAAGTCCGAGAAGAGCGAGCTCTGGGCCCCACGCGGCGTCAGGGAAGCTGAGCCGCAAGCACATCCGAACCGGGCGCACGCCCTGCAAAAGCCGAACCCACAAAAGAGCCCCCCCCCCCCGCACTCATACAAGGGAGGGGCATGGGGGGGAGGAAAGTTTTGTTTTGTTTTTTTTTAATAAGGGGTGGGGGTGGATCTGAAAGATCTGAAAGCAAAATGTTCAGACTGCAATCACAGAAGTGCAAAGGCCCTGAGGTGGGTGCATGCTTAAGGTGTTGGACGCAGAGCGAGGAGGGCAGTGTGGCTGAAGCAGGGGGAAGAGGACCCGGATCACTCCCGAGGGGATCGGCTGAGATTTGTTCCAAGAGCAATAGGGAGCCACCGGAAGGTGTGTAGCCGTGAGGGGCAGGATCTGCAACAGGATTTTAAGAAGTACCACGGGGTTCCTGGGTAGATTGGGATGGCATGGAGGATGCAGGAGGTTGCCCTAGGAAGAGGCCCAGATAGACAGGGGCTCTGGGCCATGGCAGACCTGGGATTTGATTAAGGGGCCCCGGCGGGGATGCAAGCAGAGTAGGCTAAGGGTCTAGGCTGGATCCCAGACCAGCGATCCCTCCACCAGCTCCCGATCGCCCCCGTGTGGCTTCGCGGACCCTGCAGCCTTGAGCCGATTCTCTGCCTCTTTTGGGATTACCACCGGTTTGGGGGCGGTGCCTGGGGGAGCCTGAAGCTGGCTGTGCTTGTAGGGCTGGGGGGTTGCCTAGAGGGGAGGCTGTCCCTCCCCACTCCCTTCCAGTCCTTCCATTCTTCATACCCACCCTTCACAGGCCCACCTCATGGCCTTTGCCCTAGCTGTTCCTGCTGCCTGGAGGGCAGTTTGGCTCCTGGCCTGGCCTATTCTAGTTCCTTCTTCTCCCCCCATCCTCTCCCTCCTTCCCCTCTTTCTCCTCCCGTCCCTTCTTCTTGCCTTCCTTGGCCATCTCCCCTAGATTACGGATTCTTCCCTGGCCTTGGTTGGATTTGTCACTGTTAACGATAAAATGATGCATCAGATAATCTGCGGGCAGCCTCCGCCTTCCACTGGATCTGGCCTCCCTGCGGACACGGCCCTGGCGGCCGGTGAATATGTTGCAGGAGTCGCTCGGAAGTCTGGTTTGCGTTTTCCTGATGATGGGTTTTCCTCTCCACTGGAGATGGAAGCAGCGCCCCCCCCCCACCCCGCCCCATTAAAGTGGCAGGCGTTGGGCGGGGCCAGGATCCGGAGGGCGGCTCCCGCAGCCCCGCCCCAGCCGTGCGTGGGAGGCGGGCCACAGCTGGGAGCAGGGTCTGGGCCAGGAGATGTTTCCTCTCAGAAGCTGTAATTATGGGTAATTTTCTAACTGCAACACAAAAATTAAAACCCAAACAACACGGGAGGGGAGAAGCCACAGCAGCCGGTGAGCGCTAGAGCAGGGATGGGAGTCCCCGCCGACACCTGGCGGGAGGAGCAAGGCCCCCAACCCAGGAGTGTTGGGAGGAGGGGGCAAAGGCTCGCTCAGATGTGCTAGGCTCCTTGAAGAGGCAGCAACCGCTTGGAGTTTCAGTTTCCTTTACTCCAAGACCGATCGCCTGGAGGCAGAAGTCCCCGGATGGAGGATGATCCTGGGTTTGAATTCTGGCTGTGCAGGTCCGCTTGTGAGTCTTTGGGCAGGAAGCGACTGAACCCCCAAGCTTGCAGAGCTGCCAGGAACTCTAGGCGAGAGAAGGGATCCAGGAGGACTGGGAAGAGGAGCCTCAACCAAACCCACAGCACCTGTGTCCATTCTCCACAAGGCTTAGCCTGAGCCAGTACACTGCCCTACTTTCTGTGGACTCCCGTGCCCACAAATTAAGCCCCTGCCCCTCCTCCCTGCACTTGAATTCCAGAGCCAAACCAGTCATTAGAAATTGGTGTGCTCAGGGCGCCTGGGTGGCTCAGTTGGTTAAGCGACTGTCTTCGGCTCAGGTCATGATCGCGGAGTCCCGGGATCGAGTCCCACGTGGGGCTCCCTGCTCAGCGGGGAGTCTGCTTCTGCCTCTGACCCTCCCCCCTCTCATGCTCTCTATCTCATTCTCTCTCTCAAATAAATAAATAAAATCTTTAAAAAAAAAAAAAAGAAAGAAAGAAATTGGTGTGCTCAGCTCGGGATTAGATCATCCCTGGAAAACCCACCCAGCAACCTCATTGGAGAGGCAGCCTATCTTCTTCCCATGTTAGAGAATGGGGAAACTGAACCCCAAGAGGTACTGAGGGAGTCACATAGGTGACCCAGTGGCAGCACTTCACCCACTGGCGTGCCTGCCCTGTCTGGGGTCTGGGATACTCACTCTGGGAAATTGGAGGCATTTTGTGGAAAACTCAGGCCTGGGGGGGGGGGGCGGGGAGGGGGGAGGAGCAGGGAGGAGAGTAATGAAGGAGGGGAGAGCCTGTAGCAGCTACAGAGAGAGTTTTGCAGGTAAAACCGAGGCTTAGCACAGGGAAGCAACTTGCCTGAAGACACACAGCAGAGAGTGGAGGACCAGGTCCCACTTTGGGGTGCACTGGCAACACCCCTCCCTTAGCTTTCCTCTCCAGAGCTCCGGTCTCTTCCTGTGGCAGAGGAAAGAGTTTCCATGACACCCTAAGGTCCCACTCTCTTTCTGGACCGTAAAGGGGAAGGGTCTTTTCTTTCCCATTTGGGAGTCCCTCAGCTTAATAACAACATGGGGGAATGGATGCTTGCTAAGCACCAGAAATTGGGTACTTTTTGTCCATGATCCTGTTGTATGCATCCAGCTCATCCCCACCCCAGGGCCTTTGCAAGGGTGTTCTCCCTGCCTGGGACACCTTCCCCCCCAGCCGTTCCCCATGGCCTGCTTCTCT